AAATAGAGACAGAGAGAGACAGAGGGACAGAGACAGAGAGACAGAGAGAGACAGAGAAACAGAGACAGAGAGGGACAGAGACAGAGAGACAGAGAGAGACAGAGAGACAGAAACAGAGACAGAGAGAGACAGAGACAGAGAGACAGAGAGAGACAGAGAAACAGAGACAGAGAGAGAGAGACAGAGAGAGATAGAGAGAGCCAAGAGGCAGAGTGCTTGCCCAGCAGGCAGAAGAAAAACCTGGGTCTCCGCCCCAGCTCTCACCAAGCAGCATGGTCCAGCACACTGTACTCTTGGCACGTAGGAGGCAGAGGCAGTAGGACCAGACTTTCAGGGCCATTCTCACCTTGGCAGCAAGTCAGAGGCCAGTCTGGCTGCCGAGAGACTCTGACCCGGCTCCAGGCAGAGGGCTTATTTACCACCTACATCTCCTTCCTACCCTGACTTCTGACTTGAGAATTCTCTCCAGTTCTGCCCTGGCCTGAGTGTGTGTTGTTCAATCGACCAGGCAGTGGGTGGAAGGATCTTTTACTCTGGCTGCCATCGCTCTGGGGCCTCTGATTTGAAGGACTATCACTTTGGGCCTCTTCTGAGTGACTTGGGGAGATAATTTCTTACCGAGAGAATGGGGGAGAGAGGAAGAGAGACAGAGGCAGAGATCCAGAGAGATAGAGACAAGGAGAGATACCAAGGAACAGAGAGATAGAGAAAAAGAGACAGAGAGACATTGAGACAGATGACAGACAAACAGACAGACAGACAGACAGACAGACAGACGGATGAGTGGGAAATGGAGCTGTAGTTTGTCTCTGTCTAGTTTGGGACTAAGGACATTCTCATTCGAGCTTTCTGACTAAGTGTGTCATAATTTCCAGTGGGCATATGCAGTAGCGTCCAGCCAGCCCTGGGTTTTTGGCAGGAACACAGTTGGCTCTCAGGGTACCAGCTCCCAGCTCTGATGTGACAGTTGTGAAGAACAGCATACACCTTAAAGGGCTGGTTCAGCTGAAGTGCTCAGACCTGCTCTCTTCTGCTCACCCAAACACAGAGCCCTGTAGGATGGGAATAAGGAACAGACACAACACAGCAGCTCGCTTTTGTGAACTTCCGAGTACATCACAGTCACGAGGAACTTGGCTAGGGTTGCAAGGTCTGAGGGTAAGAAGTGAAAAGTGGGCTATGCCCTTGGGTGCTTGTTATTGTTATGTAAGAACAGGCTAAGGCCTTACCTCAGAGGCACAATGCCTGCCTAGCGTGCTTGTGGCCCCCACCCCCTCTCTCCCCTGTTACACATGCTTCCTTCACCATCTTCCTCTTTGGTGAATGTTGCTGAAGTAGAAACTGGCATTAGAGACTGGACCATCACAGCTCCCCTCCCTCCCTCGGCCTCAGTAGCCTTACCTGTTCAGCCAGATGTGTTTTGGTCTCACCATCTCCCGGTTGGAGGTTCTAGCCTTGGCAGAAGAAGGACCTGGAATCCTGCTGCTTTCGTCTCTGGGATACTGAAGCAGAGAGCCACACATCCACACAGCCCAGGCAGGCAGCCGGCCCTTCTCAGCCTCATCTGTCCAGCATCCCAGAACAGCAGTGAGCTAGCTGGCTGGCCGGGAAGGCCCTGTCCTGTGCCTTTGGCCTAGGTGGCCCAGGGAACGGTCCTCCCCTCTGCTGGGGTGCAGCAAGCAGTGGGGGTGGGGGGAGGCTCATCTCCAGCTGGCTTGTGCCTATGAACCCCTCCCTCCCCCCAGGCCTGTCCGCAGGGGCTTGGGACCAGCCAGAAAAGTCAGGCAGCTCGCTAGAGGGAGGAGACGTAAGGTTCCTTGGCCAGACCGAGTCTTGCTCCCAGAGAAGCACAGTGCCCAGCCCCACCCCTTGCTCTGTGCCCCCTCCACTGCTGAAGACTTTGACCTTGTGTTCCAGTCCTAGCTGGTGGGCAGAGGGCTGAAGTCAACACAGCCCGGAGAGTCAGGAGCATCCCTGCTGGAGACAGGAACCTGCACCCCCAGGACATTTTTCTCTGGACCCGTGGTACCAGTGGTAAGTGAAGACGCACTTGAATTGGGACAGGGGACAGAAACAACATAGTGTCTTCCCCAGTGTCCTCTCCATGTCAACAATCCAGGCTCAACACCAGCGCCTGAGATTGGTGACCCAAAAGGGACAGACTTGGGAAAGTGTCCCCCTGAAAGATAACACTGTACCTCCCTGGTGTACGTGTCAGAAGAGAACTGAAGGCTCAGACGCCACCTCTCCAAGGCTCAGTCCCCATCCACCCCCGGCCCCTGGAACGTGGAATCTTCGAACAAAGTTTGTATTATGCTATTGATTATTGCTATGGGGTGGGGGAATTCATATGAGCCACGCTCTGCAGGTGGACGTCAAAGGGCAACTTTTGGAACTGAGTTCTCTCCTTCCACCATGGGGTTGGGGTTGGGGGGTGTCTCAGGAGCAGAACTCAGCTCGGCAGGCTCGGTGGCAGCTTTACCAGCTGAGCCATCTTGAAGTCTCCGGATGTGGGTCTTTGCCTCACAGGGTGAATTTGAGGATTAGAAGACAGATGGATAGAAAACGCCCGGCCCTCAGCCGTACCTAATAAACGCTCCCTAAACGGTGTCTATCATTACGCTGGGTAGGTGGTTTGATAATCAATGTCTCAGAACTGTGGTCCCAATTTAAAGATAAACAGGGAATATCAACCACACAAGGTACAGCCACATGGTGTGTGGACCGGGCAGAACTGGCTTGTGTTCATCTCTGTGCCTCATTACGGCTTTTTAGTTTCACCAGTCCTTCGTGTTCTCCATTAAGTGTACATGACAGAGGCACAAACTGCCTCCTCTGATTGCTTTCGAGGGGACAAAGGTTATAAGCAGAGAGACAAAGAGAAAAGTCCGTGCCGACTGACTGCTGCTATGAGGTGCATTCGGGCTGAGCTCTGGAGTCCCACACCAGCCTCCAGTTGTGCCTCCTCGGCTTCAACTTCTGTCCCTGGTTTAGGATGATAAAGAAGGCGTCTCCTAGAGGAGCTGTGAGGGGGAGGGGCTGCGTTGTCTCCATTGCGTTTTGTGTCTTAGTGACAGTAGGGTCCAAATAGACTCTCCTGTCCCATTCTCATATTGACTCTATAATCTCATTCTCTCTCTGTCTCTCTGTCTCTGTAACTCTGTCTGTCTCTGTCTCTCTCCCTGTCTCTTTGATTCTCTCTGTCTCTGTCTCTCTCCCTGTCTCTTTGATTCTCTCTGTCTCTGTCCCTCTCCCTGTCTTTTTCATTCTCTGTGTCTCTGTGTTTCTCTCTGTCTCTGTGTCTATGTCTCTGTCTGTCTCTGTCTCTCTCTCTCTCTCTCTCTCTCTCTCTCTCTCTCGTCTGCCTGTCTATCTACCTGTCTCCCTCTCTGATGAATGCAGTAACTTCCCTGGTTTATCTTCCAGGATACACACTCCAAGCATGCTTGAATAGAATATCTGGCCATAAAGCATAATTGCACCACTAACATAAAACTGTCAGCAACCACAAGGAAATGGTTGACTTAATAACAGTGCTATGCACGCACAGGCCCAGAAGTTCATTAGTGCATACATGAATGATCTTACCTGAGGCTAGACCATGGCTTCTGTGGTCTGGCTTCTGCTTCTGATGAGGTTCACATGCTTACATACTGTCCTTTATCAGCAGCCACTCTTGTCAGTATCAAATGTGGGGCTCAGAGTCGTTCCTCTCCCTCCAATCCTGTCCCACCGACGGTCCCACAAATGGTGCATTTTAGGCTTTGAAATAGCAGGACTCCCAAACATAGGCTATTTGTCTTCCCCTGCCTCATCCTCGGGTTTTTCAAATCATGTGACTAATGTGAATACAGGGTTCCACAGTCGGGCTAGCCTGGGCTCTGCTTTTCTCGAACAGGTTGTCTTGGGTCACAGCCTCAGCTGCCTCCACTGAAAATGGGTACGTCTCCTCTAGGGTCTTTATGAAGATCTTGATAGGTTATGTGTTGACAGTTCACACACACACATACATGCACACATGCACAGACACATGGAGGGACACACAAGAACACATACAGATACATAGCTATACACACAGGCACACCCACAAAGACACACACACAGAGATACATGCACACATGCACACACACACAGAGGGACACATAAAGACACATACAGATACATGGACACACACAGCTGGAAAACATTCGGCTGCAGCCCCCCGCTCACAGAGACAACTCTTTTCTATCACCCCTGGGAAATGATCCTTTCCTCACAGCCGTGGGTCATGTACGGTCTAGTGTTTCCTGTCTGCACAGGGATGTCTAGTTCCTCCTTGAAGTTCCGCACAGTGGGGAAAGCTGGGACCCGCCTGGCACTCGCCTCTCTCCGCCCCTTCCAGCTGGTTCCCGAAGCCATCATTAGAGCCAGACTTCCAATCGCTCTGGGTTTGTCCTCCTGCCGGCCAAGCTTTGATCCAAAGTTTCTTCTTTGTACTTTTTTTTCCTCTTTCACTTTCGAGGCAGGAAGTTACTATGTAACCTCTGACCGTGACCATGCAATCCTCCTGCCTCAGCCTTTTATGTGCTAGGATCACAAGTGTGCACCACCAGGCCCGCCTCATGGGTCCCCCTCCCCCTCTCCTTCTTTTTCCTTCCCCCACTTTTTCAACCCTTATCTTTTTGAGCCGAGGAATTGCTATGAAGCCCAGACTGACCTGTAACTGGTAGCTTCTTCCTGCCTCAACATCCTGAATACTCAGATTACAGATGTGTTTCCCTGTCTAGACCCTCCCGACACCCCCAGCAGCTCTCTCCCCACCCCACCCCTGTCTTTTCCTGGGTTTCTCAGTGGTGTGAGGATGGGAACCAGAACATCAGAGAGAGCAGACGTAGGTTCTCTCTCCAGCTCCTGTCGCAACCTGGAGCTGATGTGACTCTCAGGGCGCCTTGGCGCCTCATCTGTAAACTGCTGTTCTGTATGAGCTCCCAAGCACCCAAGAGTTTCCTCGAGAGTTGGTGTTTGCATCCACTGCCCTTCCCAGGCTGGGGTGAGGGGAGCAAGGGGCAAGAGGGTGCTGTGGTAGAAGAGGAGAAGCTTTGTCAGCTTGCAAGTGTGCGGACAGCAGACAGGCTCAGTTCACACAGGGCAGCTCCCCTGGCTTCCCGGAACTCTCTTGGCTCAAACACTGAAAATGCACAACCCAGGAGGGATCACCCTAACACTGACCAGGCTGGGAGCTACTCTCTCTTATCCAGACAAGTCCAGTGACTTGGCCAGGCTCACACAGTCAGTGTGTCAGAGGTAGACTAGACTGAACGTGTCTGACCCACTAAACCAGCACACTATGAGCTTCTAGTACTGTGTGCTGTGTACTATGAACTGTGTGTGATCTATACTGAGTACTGTGTATTGGGTACTAAATACTGTGTACTGAGTACTTGTACTGGATAGTACTGTGTGCTGTATACTGAGTACTTGTACTGGGTGGTATTGTGTGCTGTATACTGAGTACTTGTACTGGATACTATGTCTTGTGTACGGAGTACTTATACTGTATACAGTGCACTATGTACTTGTATACTGAGTACTTGTACTGAGTACTGTGTGCTGTATACTGAGTACTTGTACTGTATATACTGTGTACTATGTACTGGGTACTGAGTACTGTGTACTGAGTACTAAGTACTTGTACTGGGTACTGGTTACCATGTACTGAAGGTCTCCCAGGCACCATAACAGGAACCACTGCAGAGCTTGGCATTGAATCCTCAGGACAGCTGATGAGACTGGAGTTACTCCTGTTTTACTAATGAAATGGTCTTGTCTCTGGGGTAGGGATGGGGTGGGGGAGGAGAAAGGGGCTGGGAGGGGCTGTTCCCTAAACCCCCAGCACCCAAGCCCAGGCTTCAAGCTGCCACCTTCGGTTTGTGGACTCGGTACCAGTTTGGCATCTGAAACCCCAGCAGAGTCCAGCTTTTGTGGCCTGCCGCCACCCCAGCTTTGCAAAACTAGGCCATATTGAGAATGATCCGCTGTTCAGGGCCCTAGGCCCATGTTGCCAGGAGCTGGGGTCTGAGGGAGGCCAGCCGAGTGTAGAGGGGGCAAGAGTCTGGCCCTTCCGGACACACACAGTCCCCTTGTTCTGCCTCGGCTTTCTGACTAGAGCAAGGTCAAAAGCAGCCAGGCCTAAAACATCTGAAGGTGTAGCCAGCCCTGTGATCCAAGGCAGGCCTATTCTCCTGCCAGAAGAGCAAGTTCTGAGGGCAAACCCAGCATCAGACATGCTCAAAACCCCATTGGCTAGCTGGCAGCATGGCACATAGTAAGGGTATAGTAAATGTGTCCAGAACTTACTTGAAATGAAATTCCAACACCGACACTTACTGGAGCTGTGTGTGAGGCACTTTTCCATTGTGAGCCTCAGTTTCCTTATCTGTAAAATGAGACTAAAAACAGCAGCCCTCAGAAGGACACCAGAGGCTTAGGTTAAGGATATGTGAAGCTGTGGTTCTGGCTCAGGAGCACAGTAGGTGTTTGCTGAGGTTGGCTCTCTGTAGAACCGGAGCTGTTTGGCCACTGGTGTCACAGCCGTCCACCCCTGAACTATGTCTAAGCTGCAGCTCAGGGAGCATGTTACCCAGGGCTGACAGTTAGCTGGGTTGAGCTTTGCTATTTGAAGCCAGTACTCCTGACCACCCTGAATACTGGTGGCTGGGACCAACCTCGGAGGCGGGGCAACCAGGGAGGTGCCATGATTATCAACTCAGTGATGTTAGGCACGTGACCTTGTAAGCCGAGAACACTGAGGACGGAAAGATGGCTCAGAGGTTAAGAGCGTGTTCTGCTCTTCCAGAGGACCCAGGTTTAGGTCAGGGCTCCCGGCCATCTGTAACCCCGGCTCTGGGGGTTATAGATGTCCTCTTCTTGCCTCTACCTGTGCCTTGCACTGAGGTACACACACACACACACACACACACACACACACACGTATGTGCATGCACATATGTAGACACACAAAAAATGGAATAGACCTTTAAAAAGAATTAGATGACTACCTCTATCGTTCTAGAATCTTGAGGCCACGGTGAAGGCGGCGATGACTGGGAGGGGGGACCCTCCATCTTCTGTCTTGCAGGCTGGCATGATGCGTGTGGCCGTGGTTGGAGCGGGAGTCATCGGACTGTCCACAGCCCTCTGCATTCACGAGCGGTACCACCCGACACGCCCGCTGGACATGAAGGTCTATGCGGATCGCTTCACGCCACTGACCACGAGCGATGTGGCTGCTGGCTTCTGGCAGCCTTACCTCTCCGACCCCAGCAACCCGCAGGAGGTGTGAGTGAGGATTCCGTGTGGTGGTCCGGGGGGTCCCACGGAGCTAAGACACAGAGGGAGCCTCTCCCTACGGTCTTCAGCAAGGACAAGTCCCTAGTGGCAGCCTTGAGCTGGCTCCGCAGTGTGTTCTAGAGCTTTCCGGGTAAAGGGGATGGGTTGTAAGCTTGAGGTCACCTAGAAGTCACCCAGAGGTCACCCAGAGGTCATCTAGAGCTACGTCACAAGACTAAGATTAGAAATTAACCAGTCAGGAAAGTTCACCTACCTGTAATCCAAGTAGTCAGGAAGCAGAGGCATGGAGACTCACTGCAAGTTGGAGTCTAACCTGGTCTACCTGGCAAGTTTTAGGCTAGCCAAGACTACATAGAGAGACTATTTTTTTAATTTATTTTTATTGAAATTGAATACTTCATATTACAGTAAAGTTGATTAAAAAATGAAGAGACTATTTTTTTAAAAATATTTATTTGTTTTAAAAAAAATATTTATTTGTTTTATGTATATGAGTACTCAATTTGTATGTATACCTACATACCAGGAAAAGGAATCGGATCCCATTACAGATGGTTGTGAGCCACCATGTGGGTGCTGGGATTTGAACTCAGGGCCTCTTGGAAGAGCAGTCAGTGTTCTTAACCACTGAGCCATCTCTCCTGCCATGTTTTCTCTTTTTTATTTTCTCAAGACAGGGTTTCTCTGAGTAGCCTTAGCTGTCCTGGAACTTACTCTATAGACCAGGCTGGTCTCAAACTCACAGAGATCCCTCTGCCTGCCTCTGCCATGTGGATAAAAAAGGAACCAAAGGAGGGAGGTGAGAGGGTCTCAGCTCCAGATCATCAACGCCTTAGAAACAGCTGAGTCTGTATAACAAAGATTTTACTCTGTGTGTGTGTGTGTGTGTGTGT